CGATGTGGGCCTCCTGTCTACCATTCGTCTGACATGAATATCATCGTGTGTATCTTCACTTCTCGAAGTTCATCGTAATAGATACTTGCACCCCTCCTTCTAAGACTACTGTGCCATCGTTGATCAGCACTATCGTTCGCTGGCTATTCGCGAAGATCTTGGATTTAACCTCCATTCTGAACACACGCATTAATTCTAACACACATGTTGTATGTGTACCAGAAACATAATTGATTCAAGGCATTGAGGACGTGCTCGCGTGAATAGAGGGCTTTTATTGCTCTCTGCAGGACAGACAATGAAGTAGGAAAAAACCGGAGTCGCTGTGGCAACCTACATCAATGTTTGACTGTTTATCTGTTCGTTTCCAACCCAACCCAGTCAAAAGTACAATCATCACCAATGTGTATATAGCTCCCTCTTGTTCTCAGACAAAAATGTCCTCTTTCTTTGATTTCCTTATTCCGTTTCTAGTTTCATTATTAGATGAAATCTTCACTTGTTGATGATTTCAATCATGCAGGCATTTCTTCCTTGCTTCCGTTTGTTCTGTCTGACCTTTCTCTTTCTCCTACAGAGGTAATTCTGTGCTGGACAGAGTGATCACAAACCATCCCAACTTATTCTTTCAAACAAATACCAGTGACCATAATATTCTTGTTAGACCGAAGGTATACTCTCGTACTGTTTATTAAGCATTCTTGCGTTCTTCTCAGAGAAATTTCATCTAAGGGATTTTTCACCCAACCGCATCTCTCTTCTCAACTGTTCTGTTGTGATTGTTCAGTCTTGGTTTTCTTTTTGTCCATCGCTTTTTAACTGAGTCAGTCTGTTCACTGAAACGATTAAATTGATCTTAAACTTGTGTTGTCTCATGAAAGTTCTGTTTGTCTATAATAACAAAATTACCTCACCTATTTGAAATCACTGAGAAGGCACAAAGAAAAGGCCTACAAATCTCGCCATACATCAGTTAAAAAGCACTATTCTGAGTTAATCAGGTGTGAAATAACATATCTAAATGCAATCTTCGCCTCCCGAATTCCGAGGACAAACAACACCAGGCTTTTATGGTGAGTTATTCGCCTTCTCTGTGAGCAGAACATAAAACACTCAAATACCTCTGTGGACGCCAACAGCCTCAACGCCGCTTTCATTCACCCGTCAAACGAGAACCAGATTCCCTCATTACCATGAAATGAATCCAATTCAGTGCTCTTTTCCAATGGCGAAATCTTTAGGCTTCTTTGGTCCTTCGAAGCATACTCAGCTGCGAGCCCTGATGGTCTTCCTCTGCACTTCTGAAATTTGGAGCAGCTTCCCTAACCAATATGATAACATCCGCCGCCAATGAGTCCCTATCTTCCCGGTCGATTCCTAATCCCTGGCGTCAAGTGACTATTATTCCAATCCCCAAATCCTCGTCCTCAACTGTTCTTACGAAACGATTTCGACCTATCGCGCTGATCTCAGTAGCTCTAAGGTTGTCTGAACAGGCCATCCTGAGTCGGTAAGGTCAATCACCACAATTCCTTACGCCCCCCTAAAGTTTGCATACAAACTAAACACTGACGCCTTATCCACTCTAATGCATTTTATCAGCGAGTTATTGAAAAAAACTCAGCAAAGTCTGTCAATTGCATTTTTCTTGAATATTCGTCCGCATTTAATTCCGTTTCTCAATCATCCCTTCTTTTCAAACGTATTGGCACTCCGAGACATCTGCTCTCAAGGCTTGCTGACTATTTCACACAGAGGGTCCAGTGCACCAAATTAGGAAGGAGGACCTCAAAACCTCTTGTTAATAATTATGATGTTCTTCAATGTATTGTTTATCTTCATATCCTTCTTCTGCTTTTATTAGTGATCTTTCGGTCCCACCCCCTGCGCACATCCCAAAGTATGTCGATGACGTTTTATATCAGACAATTTTATCTCCTTCGGAATTTCATTCTTTCACTGAAAATCTATCCCACGTCCAACAGTTTTTTGATCAATCTGGTCTCATTCTGAACATATCTAAGTTCATAGAGTCTATTTCCAGTCTTTCCCGCTTCTCATTTCTAACGGACTTTGCTACCCTTGACTGTAAATCTGTATCTAGAGTGACCTCAGTCAGGTACCTGGGTGTCACCTTTGGTCCACACATATTTACCAGTGTATGGGAAAAGTGAGACGCCTGTCTTTTCAGTTACGCAAACTCAGACAATTCCGAACTCCACAGTCAGTCTTGTCCTCTTTCGTTCACCAATGCATTTTACCCATTCTATCCTATTGCTCCCCTGTAGTGTTTCCAGGTCTTTTAAAGTAAGATTTCAAACTAATTCGTCGTCGTTTGATGATCATCAGTCGTTCATCATTAATTCCAATCGATTCACTAATCACAGAACTCATTAATGGTCACATCAACTGTTGTTAAATTTGCTAATACGATTTTAGATGACCCTCTTCATCCACTGCATCCCGATCTATCATCTTGTCTTTCGCATCCGTCCACAAACTCCTCATATCGGCATCTGCGTTCTCACAGGTCGCAAGTGAACTACGTCAATAGTTTTGTGTTAAACAAACTTCAGAGAAAATCTTTACCTTGCATGTTATATGAAACCGTATATTTCATTCCGCGCGTTGAACAGTGCACACTTTTCACTGAAATGTAAGCTTATAAGCTTACACGAGTTACACATACAAATACTATATATGAACAAAGTCAAAGCGCGAAGAAATTTCTTTTCGACATATCGCTTCAGGGATTTACATATATAGTTCGATTAGTCAGTAGAATAATACAAGGCCTATGCCGATGTTGAATGAATGTCTGTGTGCAAAATGTTCGGTTGATAACAAGCTATGGGGTTACGATAATTGGACAGGGCAAAAGCCGAATCAAAATGTGTGAATTGGACACGATATGAAAGGATTTTTGTCAAGAATGAGAATGAGTGTGCGAAAAAGACAGTAAGCGAGGAGTGTGGGAAGGGAGAGAATAGAAAGTGTCACACTGAGATATGGGCAATTGTTCTTATGGCTATGGTACAAGCAGCGCTTGAACCAGATTACGTTGATTGCACAACTCCGGTTTCATGATCCTAATTGCTATAAATTCCGCGGTTGTTGGGATCTTCTTGCGTAATCCTTTGGTGTGGTTCTTAGGTGCAGTGAGGAAACTTGTAAACGCTGTTTCTGGGTCAGTCCTGTGTCCATTGTCGATCTAAAGTTGCAGTATTGAGCTGTTCAAGCTTCTCACCGTTCCTTTTCGAAGAACGGTCTGACAATGTTCAGATATACTCTTGAACAGACGCCTCGTTGTGTGTTTGATTTACCAAGCACTACAGTTGCACGTGAACTAATATAGAACAAAAGATTGGGACCGGTGAGGCAATTTATCCTTAAGCTGTTGAACAATGAACGGCTTAGTCCTCGATGTGAGTCTTAAATGCTCCACGCGGAAACCAGTTGGCAATGGCTTTAGATAGCTGGTATTCCAGGATTTCTAATGCCTTGAAGGGAGCGTTGACAAAGACCTTTCTAGCCAGTTGTGCTTTTTCATTGTTTGGTTTTGGTTCCATATATCGTCGAACAAACACCTCTGCATATCCGTTCTTCCTGAGGATGTCTCTTATGTAGGTCAGCTCTTCATTCTGGGTCTCCGAACTACAAATTCTCTTTGCCCAGTATACTAGACAGTTCACTAAATTACTTTTGTATCTCAGTGGGACGGAACTTTGAAAATGTATGTACTGTCCAACCCACATGCGTTTGCAGTATACTGTTCTTTCCATCATCTGTACGATGGAGATCAGTATCCAGAAAGGCGAAAAAGTTGTCCTTTTCTATCTACATTGTAAATCGTATACCCGGATGAGCGTTGTTAAGTATTTGAATTAACTTATTAATGTCCGTTCCGGATTTACAAATGATAAACTTATCATCCATATATCTAGTGTATAGATCTAAACTGTCAATTGTGTTCCTTAAAGGTCCATCTTCGAGTTTGGCTAAAAATATATCTGCCAGGAGTGGGCCAAGCGGTAATCCCATAGCTACACCATCCTTCTGTCGATAGTACTTTTGTTTGTACAAAATCTGTACGTTCCAAGTACATCTCAGCATGAGTTCTTTAAGTTTTGTCACGGATATTTCGATCTAAATATTGTTTTCAATAAGTTGTTGACAAATATGGTCTACCATCTCCAGCAATGGTGCATTTATGTACAAGAATTCGCCATTAACTAGAGCATAATCTTACATGATACGTCTTGATTTCTGATACGATCAACGAATGCGAAAAATCTTTCATGCCATATCTGGCTAGCGATTTGTGCACAGGCTCTAGAATTCTTACGATCCACTGTGCTATGGCGTGGTAGGCTGAATTACTCATTTCAATCACTGGTCTTAGTGGCACATTTGACTTGTGAATTTTCGGCAATCCATAGAGTCTCGTTGGTTGAGATCCACATGGAATGAGTTTGTCAAATGTAGCTTTGGAGACGTAATTTTCTGCCTCAAATTGCTTCAATATCTCGTTTCAGATTCCTGCGTTTTACCCTTCTCTTTGGCATCGTGACTGAATTGGCTGTTATCAAGAAGTATAGCCCTTAACTTGATTTCATATTCCGATCGGTCCAACACCACCTGCACCTTTATCTGATTTTGAAATAATAACATTCCTATTTTTGGTCAATTCTTTGATGGTGTTTCTATGCTGCTGACAATAATGAACCAATGAGGATTTTAGGTTGTTCACTCTAGGCTCTGATGCAGGTGTGAGGTCATGAAATTGGCTCTACTGACTAATCGAACTATGTATGTAAATGCCTGAAACGAGATATGGAAAAGAATTTTTTTCGCGCTTTGACTTTGTTCTAATGCATCGCCACGAGGTTCTCTCTCTCTTGTTCATTCGGATCCACCGAGGCAACGATTTGGGTTCAGCGCATTCGATTAATTTCTACTCGAGTATCGGTCTACTAATTCAATTGGTTGTGGTTCATTTTTCTGACACGTGCGATCAAGTTATGTAATCCGGTAGGTCACACGTAAACGGAAATGAGTGGAAGGTCATTATTGACGACCACTGTACAGTTGTTGTTGTTGTTGTTACATGTACGCTTCGTGTCTATTACCATAACGCGTCTGACCACAAGGTCATGTGCAATGATCTCATGTTTTTGTAGACCGCTCATAGCTTCATATGGTTTCTGGTCGAAGTTGTAACTTTTGCTGTCTGCTTCAAAGTCTATTGCCTGTGTACATCGACATAATAAAAATCAGGGTTTCTGTTTTAGATGTTCAATTGAGTAAATTCACCATTTAATTCAACCATTTTTTATTACACACTAGTGCGATGAACAGCACAAGGGGTAAGCCCCATTGTCACGAGGACGTGCTGTTCATTCATGGAAACCGTTAACCTAAGCCCCGGGACTTGGAGTGGTAAACCACATAAGGCCCGAATAGAATAGGCGTGGTATTGAACCGGACGACAGTAAAGCTGTCCAAAGCACGCGGGTGACGGCGACTAAACCACACGGATACGATTTTATTCGTTTCTGTTCCACATCCTTCAGTAAGTTAAGTAATTTTCATACCATCAAACTTTGATGAGAGACCACTTTGCTGTCGCGCAGCTCCATATCTCGCCCGTTCTTTTGAAGGCCTTATGTAATTCGCCGTTACATATTATCAGACAGTACTGTAGGTGGTTTTGTCTGTGGATCTATTACGACGGAACTGAACCTTGACATCTAGTAATGACTTGCGTGCCCTGTGATCTTTGCAGGATGGTTTCTCACAACCGTGGATTCAATCATACCTGGTAGATCGATGGATGCAAACCAAAGAGCTCGGTCTTGCTAGGCCAGCTGATTGGGCATCTGGTCTCCTCTGAATACTCACTCTCAGCACCTTTTATTGCACGAAGCGATATACAACAAAAGGAGGAAACCCCTGGAGAAGTTACCCTAGCAACTAAACACGGAGGGTAGCAGTTTACTAGTCACCCCGCCCCCGATATATGATGGGTGGTATTTGGGGCTTCGTTCTAACGGTGGGTAAAGTTCTCGCACTTCATTGGACAGCTTTCGCCTGCCCAATCTGGTCAGCCTCCAGCCAGTTAGGTGCCTTGTTATCCACGTTCGGCTTATCCCATTGGATGCATGGAACTACGGACGGATCACGAACCGTTACTCACCTCATTAGTGAACAATACACTGAGCTGAAACTAGAAGTCCTTGTGCGACACGTCTCTCTCTCTCTCTCACCAACTTTCAGTTCAGAAACGCTGAAGGACTTGATGAATACTGGACATTAATCAAGGAAGCTACTCAAATGTCGATAGGAACAACGGTGGATTCTGGTGCACAATATAAGCACAGAGAATAGATTTCCTCAACCCCACACTGTCTTGCTAGACGCTCGCAAAAACAGTCTTCCAAATGCCATAATTCATAAAGCCCCCAAACCCTAGCTCATTTTGAGTCTGAACGGGAACTTGCCATAAGTGGTGGCTAACAAAATGTCGAAAGCTGAATAAGGCTGTGGCTGCTTTTTTAACAGTCGCAATCTTTAGCTGTTAATCTGGGATTACGGGCTTGGTATCTCACTATCATATCATTGTCTGTCAGCGTTACACATTTCCTCTTTTTAAATTGCAGATTTCTTTCATCGATGATTGATTGTTGACTGAAGCCGATTTCCTGGGTTGTCGACTTTTCTCAGTCGGATATCATGTCAACTCAACAACACGGTGCTGCATCGGACGAATCGTTTCTTTATTGACGAGTGATTTTTCTGAGCGTTTATGGAGCAGTGAGAGTGGACGGTCGACCGACCGAAAGGTGTACACCGTAGGCGTACAGCACGATCAAATAAATACCCGAT